GCTGGTCAGTTTCAGCAGCGGCTGAATCGGGGACACCTGGGGTACAATATGTACCAGTTCCGACTGACGTACAAATTCGACTTAAGTACAAATTCAACTTAAGAACAAACCTACAGTCCCTATCTTGTACGTAACCCGGGGACTGCCTGTAGTATCACCTTAAGGACTAACAAAACATGTAGATAATATCATAAGCTTTCGTGGGTACAACCCATTTCTTCAGATGAATGGAGTATTAAAACTTCAGACCCTAAATAAATAGAGGGAGTGGATAGGAAGGGAATAATATAGTAGTGAATTAGAAAATTAGAGAATTCATCTTACATGAAGCTGATAAGAACAATTTGCACTTTTTCCTAAGTACCCATTGTTTGGTTGGTTTCGTCATGAGGATGTGGAAGGTACTGTACTGTGCTAGCCAAGTGATGTCTTTATTCAGACCTTTGTGATGGGTCCCAAACTTGCAAATGAAGTTGAGTTCCAACGCTTCCCTGTGTATTTGGCTTGTGGAATTAGCCTGAAACAACACAGTGACTTTAAGATCCATTAATGAGTGCCTGGGCAGGCTAAAGTGTTCTCCAACCGGCTTCTGCATGTTGCCTTTTTGGACATCTGATTTGTGTCCATTAATTCTTTCCCATAGACACTGTCCAGTTTGGCCAATATACATGGCAGAGGGGCATTGCTGGCGTTTGATGACCCAGATCACATTAGTGGATGTGCAGTTAAATGAGCCTCTGATGTAGTGGCTGATATGGTTGGGTCCAGTGATGAAATAGCCTATGTAGATGTGTGGACAGAGTTGGCACCGGGACTGATTGCAGAGATGGATTCCTGGATGATTATGGTGGTGTGCTGCGTGGTTACTGGAAAGAATTTGTTGGAGGTTAAGAGGTTGTCTGCAGGCGAGATTGGCCTTTCCCCCAAGGCCAGTGAGAGTGCGGGGTCATTTTCCAGGATAGGAAATCTTCTGCCACAACACTCTTGCACAATTATCACACTACAAATCTGTGTCCTGAGCCCATCATACTCCCAATCTCTCTGCCCTGAGCCCCTCACACCCCCAACCCAAACACCTGCACCCTCCCCTCCACAAGCCTGTGGCTTGCTCAGCACCCCAACCCTCCACCTGGGCCCAGCACTCCCCAGCTTGGAGCCCCCTCCCTGAACCAGCATCCCCTTCTCCACATCCTCCTGCATCCAGATTCCCTCCCAGAGCTTGCACCTCTCACTCTTTTCCACACCTAAATCCCTCCTTCACACTACAGAGCCCACACCTCCTATCTCAACCCAGTGAGGGTACGGCTAGACTGCAGGAGTTTTTCCGGCAAACGTGCTCTTTTGGCAGCCCCTGTATTCCTCGTTCCACAAGGAATGAGGGGGCTTCCAGAAGAAGGGTTTTTTTCCAACATTTGGCTCAGTCTAGATGGGCCAAATGTTGGGGAAAAAAATCTTTCTTTTTTCACTGCCGAAAAAAAGTGGTGGTGTAGCCGTACCCTGAGAGTAACCTGGGGATAGCAAATGATGGAGAGAAGGGGAACAGAGTGGGCAGGGCCTCAAGGAAGGTGTGGGGTTTTGGGAAAGGGATGGGACGGTAGATCTTGGCTTGTCCTGACATTTTAAAAAGTGATCTTGGGTGTAAAAAAGTTGGAGACTACTGTTTTAGGGTTTCTTTAGTAGTGGGATCAGAGGAGAGAAGTTTGTAGAATCTGGTGTTGGTGAGTTGACTCGTCGCCTCTTGTTCATAATCTGTTCAATTCATGAAGACCAGGGCTTGACAAATAATGCAATCTTCTCGCCCATGGCGAGTAGACTGCAACCCAGAAGAGCCATGTTCGGGCGACCTGTGTATGCGCAGATCGCCGGACAGCACGGCCCTTTGGCAGCCTTTTTAATTATGATGTTAAATTGTTTTTGAGACTGTGTATAATGTGCTTTGCGTTCTGTATGACTGAGGTTATATGTTGTTGTTTGCTGACATTGTCAGCCCGTGCATGTTTGCAGAAGCAATCGATGTAGAAGTCAAGACTCTCGTTATGACTGTTAGTAGGGGCCCACATAGAAAGCCTTCCTCTTACGGGATTGGCAGGGGCGAGCTGCAATGTCAGCGTGTTGTACATCGGTGTATTGGAAATATTCCTTTAGGCGGAGGCAGTCCATTTTCCTATCCTGGAAAATGACCCCTCACTCTTATATGCCGTGGGGGAAAGGCCAGTCCTCTCCTACAGACAACCCCCTAACCTCAAACAAATTATTTCCAGTAACCACACAGCAGACCTCTATCATATTCACCCAGGAACCCACCCCTGCAATCAACTTTCGTGCCAACTCTGTCCACACATCTACACAAGCGATGTCATCACTGGACCCAACCAAATCAGCCACTAAATCAGAGGCTCATTTAACTGCACATCCACTCATGTGATCTATGTCATCAAATGCTAACAATGCCCTTCTGTTATGTACATTGGCCAAACTGGACAGTCTCTGTGGGAAGGAATTAATGGATGCAAATCAGATATCCGAAAAGGCAACACACAGAGATCTGTTGGAGAATACTTTAACCTGCCCAGGCACTCACTAATGGATCTCCAAGTCACTGTGTTGTTTCAGGCCAATTCCACAAGCCAAATACACAGGGAATCCTTGGAACTTAACTTCATTTACAAGTTTGGGACCCATCAACAAAGGTATGAATAAAGACATCACTTGGCTACCACACTACCTTCCACAAATTGTTCAATGATAGTGTATCTAATTAATGGCACTAAATGTATACCTCTTGCAGATGGATTTCATTACTTCATACAGTTACGTACGAACATAAAGAGCTGTGGTGTCCCTGTAATCACAGGTGAAATAAATAGCTGATTTCTCTTTAAAAGAACTGCATCTCTTTTTTTGCCACTAAGTTACACTGCACCGTTTCCTTCTCCAACACACCACTTTTAAGGGATTTCCAATGCACTGAACACATCAGAATGTGAATGAATGCCGGCATGTTCTTTACTTACAGCACCATTGTTATGTTACTAAGGGACTTTGAGCAGCATGTAGGAAGGTCAGTACACCCATGCTATGAGTGAATCTGTCCTCTGCTCTTCACTCAAGTAAAAATGTGCACCTTTATTGATCAAGGGATAAAAACAGGTAATATAGCCAGTCATATATAAAATCAGTGTTCATTGAATTTGGGTTCTACTGTATTGTGAAGCTGAAAGGCTCATTTTCAAGGCTGATGAACCCAAACGGACCTACCTGTTTTACAACTTAAAATGTGTATTTGGATGCACTCAATTCTACTTTGCCCGCTTTCTAAACAGATAGTAAAAGCATTACTCTTGCTTTGTAAAATGAAAATTCTGACCACTCGGGGTCAACAAAGATTCTGTTGCACTTTCCATAAGAGTGGAAATGTCCAACATCTTTGGAAGGTGCCAAAATACTGTGGTGCCGGACATGGAGTAAGAAGAACGAGACTAGAGTAGCTACTGAGATCTTGCTTGGACCTGTGATCTGTCTGAGCTATGCCTCTGTGAGATGAGCGAGGGCTGCAATCTATTCAGTGCTATACAAGTGAGATGCAGCGCTTGGATGCCTGGGAAGTTTGTCAGAGATCTTTACCAGGTTGGAATTCTCCAGGCTATGTTGCAGCATGTCAGCAGACTATCATAGAATACTAGAACTGGAAGGGACCTTGATAGATCATGAAGTCCAATCCCCTGCCCTGACAGCAGGACCAAGCACCGTTTAGATCAGTGGTGCGCAACCCATGGGTAGCGACCCCCAAGGTTGTGGATGTCTTCCCGAGGGGTCGCGGTGCCTAGATCTAGCCGGCCAGTGGCAGTTGGCGGCCCCCGAGGTGCGGGGGTTGCAGATCAAAGAAGGTGGGCACTACTAGTTTAGATCACCCCTGGTACGTGTCTGTCTAACTTGCTCTTAAATATCTCCAGTGATGGAGATTCCACAATCTCCCTAGGCAACTTATTCCAGTGTTTAACCACCCTGATAGGAAGTTTTTCCTAATGTCCAACCTAAACCTCCCTTGCTGCAATGTAAGCCCATTGCTTATTAACTATGTAGACTTCAGCTTCCTGTTCTGCAATTTAATGGGAAGACAGGAAGTGGAGATCTAGAGCTCATCAGAAATAAAGTACTTCACTGCTGATAATGATTTGGGCACCCAAAGAATCTAGAGGTCATAGGTATGTATCGCTATGAAGGAAAGCAATAGTGGCTAGAGTGATGATTGCTATCGAATAACTCTATGGCTCCAAAACAGCTGGTTACTTAAATAGGGCATTTCATTCTTAAAGATCACAAAATTTTGTGCACACTTTAATATTATGGGCCAAACTTCCAGCAGGAAAGTAATTGCATTTCAAAATTTGCCAGTACATCTGTTTTCAGGGCACAAATGTATGGAAGTATAGTTCAGGCGGCTTGCTTAAAAATCCATCTATATAAGCACTTGCATCATAAACCATAAACATTCCATTACAAAGAGTATTCAGCAAATTACAACTATGCAATTATCACTTGTATGAAAGTTGTCACTTATGCTAATAGATGCCTGATTGCAAGCAGTTTGCTCTTCACGTGACAGTTAATGTGGTATCCTCAAGCTTCATACCCTATAGCTTGTGCTGTGCATTTTCCTCCAGAAGGATTGGTTTTCTTTTTCTGAGGATGCTGGAGTTTGGCTCTGTGTTGCAATTCAAATGCATTTCCTCTTATTTTTACCGTAAATGTACCTTCATGCAGAAGAGAAGAATGAGGGGAGGGATTTGATAGCAGCCTTCAGCTACCTGAATTAGGGCTCTAAAGAGGATGGAGCCAGGCTGTTCAGTGGTGGCAGATGACAGAACAAGAATCAGTGGTCTCAAGTTGCAGTGGGGGAGGTCTAAGTTGGATGTTAGGAAAAACTATTTCACTAGGAGGGTGGAGGAGCGCTAGAATAGGTTACCTAGGGAGGGGGGTGGAATCTCCACCCTCTGAAATTTTTAAGGCCAGGCTTCACAAAGCCCTGGCTGGAATTATTTAGTCGGGGTGGGTCCTGCTTTGATCAGAGGGTTGGACTACATGACCTCCTGAGGTCTCTTCCAACCCTAACCTTCTACAATTGTAAAGCTATCTGTAGATCAATTCAGATGGGTTATGTTCCAGGATTTTGTCACTGAGTTTTTATGTATGCCTCTCTGCTGTTGAGGTGCATTCCTGTTCCCATAGTGATTATGTTGTTCCCTGAAATGATAGTGTTCATAATGTTTCTGACTGTATCAGTCATTTATTTCTCTTGTGCTTCAACGGGTGCATTTCCTGTGAAGTCCAGTTATTCAGAAGAGCATGTGAAATTACCTATATAACCCATCACTAGGTGGGCAGTAAACACCAGGCTACCCAGTGTGCGTTGTATGCGCAGTTTGGCATGAGACCAAAGTCTAAAGAGCCTTTAATCACTTAGGAAGTGTAGGTATTCTTGAGTAATTTTCCTCTTGAAACTGGTTCATCATTCTCTCCTCTGTACCCATGCTGTAGCTCTAAACATCACACCACTTCTTCTCACGTTATTTGCTCTTCTTGAGATGTTCCTATATTTCCTATGCATGTTTTTCTCTCCAGACTCTTAACTAGATCTTTAAATGTTCAAAATTATCCTGTGCAGAGGATCTGCCTCTGAGGAAGCACTGTGGGAGCTAAGGGCCTGAGCCAAATTCTTCCAATTTTATTGGCGTCTTTCTATTGGCTTTGGTAGAGTTTAGATCAGGCTCTTGCTGAGTATTAACAAGAAACTTGCACTGTCTGATGCATTTGCTAAAGCAGATAGTTACGTTTTTGCTATTAGAAGCAGTAGTAGTAGTACATATTTATATTCTGATAGCAGCCAAAGGCCCCAGTTGGGTGCATTATCATCCCTGGTTTACAATTTCAAGGCAAACAGGAAAGGATGGTGATGAAACATGCATTTTATAGGCGTCAGAATTACATTTTAGTACATTGATTCAAGAAGCTCTCAGTGACCACCTGTTTTGTGTGGAGTAACAGCTTTCATCCTATGCAGATTTTTTTTAAACTAGATATAAACACCGTTTGGAGACAGTTTGACTGGTTAGACTTCTCACTTTAATCCACCAGTTTTATAAAAAAAATCTATACAACCTGGTGACCATTTCACAATCTAACGTGGTCCATAGAGTAGATATCAGTTGATATGTTTTTCCTATGATGTCATAGTCTATACAACAAGATCCTCACCAAGGATGGAAGTCTGTGGTCATGAAACCCTGGACTAACATAGCTGGAGGTGCTGCAGATGATGATTTTTGGTGCAGCAATATAGCTGCATGTGGGATCCCAGTACTGGATGAGCAAGAGAGGATTGTAGTGCCCTAGTTAGATGCTCTGAATTCTCATAGGTGGCAGTCAGGGCCGGATTAAGGGCGGGGCTAACCAGGCAGCTGCCCAGGGCACCAACCTATGGGGGGCACCTGATGGCAGCTGTAAGTGGCGCACACGGCACTCCTTAGAGCTGCAGTCAGGCGCTGCGCACCTGGGGCCGGGGGCTACACGATGCCTCTTAGAGCTGTGCAGCGCACCGGGGGGTGGGGCTGTGCATGCGCTGTGTGCCCGGGGGCAAAGCCGTGTATGCATCGCACATCCGCTGCCCGGGGCGCAGGAATGGCTTGAGCCGGCCCTGGTGGCAGTGCTATACTCATGAGCCAGATCTGTTTGCGATCCCTGGGTATTTTGTTGCTGTTCTGCTTTTACAGGCAGGTAAAGATGGCAAATCCAAACGCGGCAAATCCAAAGGCTCCAAGAAGAAAGCAAAGAAGCCAGTGAGTGAAGTGGATATCCTTAGCCCAGCTGCCATGCTCAATGCCTACTACATTTCTCACAATGCTGCTGCTTGCCTGGAGTTCCGTGGCTTTACTTGGCCTGGCTCCCCCAAAAAGAAAGGGAAGAAGGGAAAATAGTAATCAGATGGATGTAAACCAAGGGACTCATGATTTACAAGCTCCACGGGGAAAAGGAGAACCCCTGTTAAGGACTGAAAGCAAACTGATCACTCAGGTTTTTAACTCTTAATGTTTGCTATAATCACTGTGAAGGCCAATACTACCAAGACACTCTTGTTATGTTTGAGCGTACAGTAGTAAATGTTAATTTAAGATGCTTACTGTGCCAATGTAATATTAACCCTAGCCATTAGCCTGCTAATTCTGGAAGCTAATAAAACATTGTACCTCTGTGAGCAATTCTAATGGTATGCAAGGAGATTCATTTTGTTCTGATAGCTCCTGCTGCTACTTCTGCTCCTAGACCTAATGTATTCTCTGAAAGCCATTGCACATCAAAGCTGGTGTGTCTGCTATTGCTTAAACCAAAGTTATCCAAAGTGCAGCCTCAGGCGATGCACCCCACAGAGACTTCATGCATCAGCATGCAGTGATCTCTCTCAATAAGTGCATCCTGGCTAAAGGCCACAAGCTTCATGTTAAACATAGAGGCTATGTCTAGACTACAGACTTCTTTCGGAAGAAGCTTTTTTTGGAAGAGAGCTTCCGGAAAAACTTCTTCCGAAAGAGAGTGTCCACACTGCAAAAGTGCATTGAAAAAGCGATCTGCTTTTTTGAAAGAGAGCGTCCGGACTGAACGGACACTCTCTCACATGTAAGCTGTGATTGCTATGGACGGAATGGCCACGAGGGCTCCTGTGGTTTTTCCTCTTCTTCCGATAGAACTCCCTCTTCCCCGTCCACACATACCTTTTTGCAAAAGAGCACTTTCGCAAAAAGGCTTCTTCCTCGTAGAATGAGGATTACCAATGCCAGAAACCCCTTTGTTCTTTCGATTTTCTTGCGGAAGAACACAAGAGCAGTTTGGACATTCCTCAACTTTTGTCAGAAAAACAGCTGGTTTTTTTTGACAACTCTGTAGTATAGACATACCCAGAGTGGCTACAATCAGCTCCATTTGATACGAATTAAGCGCAGTCCTTGGGCTCCTGGATAACTGCTAACCAGTCACCTGTTTAGCAAAGTTTGTGCTCAGGGCACATATTTGTCACAGAACTGGTTCAAGCATATTTTATCCCATCCACTCCCAGCTATAAGGCCCAAGATTTGGTATGAAATATTTTGTCTTAACTATTCCAAGTTCTTATGCATTGCCTGTTTGGAGGGTGGGGGCAATAGAGAATGTGTCAAAAACTGATAGATGTGCTGGGGAGTTTGGGGATTTGTAGCTAGAAGTGTTCTTCTTAAACAGGAGGAGAGGAGAATCTGCAATGAGCCAGGGTTACCAAAAAGGAAGGAGACATCCTAATTCCCTAGGATGCTCAAGTTATTGCCAGCATGAAAGCTTGTGTTCCACCCCGCGTGGCATCACATTAGCAGGAAACTTTCAGCTGGCCTCTGCCTGGGGTGGTGATCCACTTGGCTATAGGTTTGGCATCATTGTCTGAACCCCCGAAGAATCAGACTGAAAGCAATTTCTGACTGCCTTTGAAGTAAGGAAGAATGACACGCCTTTCTGAGTTTGAGAGAAAATGTGTTACAGACTTTGGAAAAACAACTTAGAACCAATAATAATTGGACCCAGTGCTTTTTTTGTGATGGTACGCCCCAGGACGGCGTACCGGCACCTATTTTTCCTGCATGATTTAAATGAATTGCATTCTCCTTGGGCGTACCGGCACCTCCTTTCCTAGGGCGGCTGGGCTCCTGGTGGAAGCCCACTCGGGACACATGGCTCTTAAAGGGGCTGCGACGGCATTTTGGCTCCTGGGGTGGCTTTTTATTTATTTATTTTTTTTGCTCAACAGCTTTCCCCCCCCTCAACAATTTTCCCCCGAGAGTACCGGTGTACCTTTTTTCTTACAGAGCACTGATTGGACCCATCTTGCTATGAAATGCTTGAAAGGCCTTGGTGTGACCTTGCAAGATGGAGATTTCCCTCTATGCACAGGTCTCATTTGGGAAGTTCATTGGTGTGTGGATCTTCTTATGGGGCCAAATATGTCCATCATTTACACTAGTGCAAACCTGCTACTATAGTGGTGTTGCACAGATATAACTGAACTTGTCTTGTCGGATATACTGCCCAGCATGTCACTCTCCCATGCCAGCTGGCACGTTGTCACTGTAAAATCACATTCCATCCCCTCCCATAATCCAGCAGGATGCCTCTGGTCCCACCATATCCCTGTGACTATTCCCCCATCCCCATAACATGGCTCCAAAAGGAGATGGCAGAATTCTGCCCTCTATACGTAGTGCATCCCAATCTAATCTCAAAACCAGTTTGTGGATTTGCCAGACAGATGTACAGGATCAATTTATAGAAGTGAGAAAAGATACTGAGGAAGACTGCAATCTGCTAGCCACATAAAGGAGCCAGAACACCGCTGTTGGATGAATGGTGAACCTGGGTGCAGAGCGGGTACCAAGTTCCATCCCAGAATCCTGATGAGATAGTGCATCCTGGCACCAGCACATGCTTGTGCTTTGCCAGCTGTCCTCCAGGACTTAGTAGCCCCAGCATGTTCTGCTTATTTTCAAGGGACACTACCAAATAGAGCTGGGTAAATGATTCTTTCCATGAATGTAGCCTCTTTCTGTGAATTGCCCATAAGAAACTGAAATTTGTCTTAAATCTATTAATTATTCAAAGCGTGTTAAATCTTGGCCTGTAGATTGTTCATTAACACATTACAATTAAGACTGCTTAGCTGTGTGTCATGTGCCCTACACTGCTGACTGATTCACCCGTAGCTCAAGTGGTAGGGGATCTCCATAGCTCTTGAAACAGAATGAACCAGAATGGTTTATACTTGCTGTCATTAAATTAGGATGGTCATAGCCTCTCTTTCCTTTTATGCCATTTGTTCTTGCTGGCAATCATGGTAGGTAGGGCTGGAAGAGAAAATTTCCTTTTAAAACTGGAGGAAGAAAATTACCAAAAAGTAAAACAACTTTTGTGCTGGCCACAAGGCAGTTTCCGAGGAGGCATTTCCTTACCCTGAGAGGTAGCAAGCAAGTCTGTCAGGAAATAGTCTGTTTTAGGATTAAGGGGAAGATTACATAAAGCAGCAGAGTGAGACGCAAAGCATGTAACTCCTGAGCTTCCTCACTAACTGTTGGGCCTAAAAGCTCATTGCTAACAGGTCATTCATTCTGTCAGGTAAATCCAAAGCTGTTCCAATTGATGTCAGCTAGGGTGATTTGACTTCAGAAACTCAAGAGCCAAGCAGGGCTGTAAACTGTAATTGAAAAAGTTAACCAGTTAAACACTATGGCTGCGTCTAGACTGGCATGATTTTCCGCAAATGCTTTAAACGGAAAAGTTTTTCCGTTAAAAGCATTTGCGGAAAAGAGCGTCTAGATTGGCAGGACGCTTTTCCGCAAAAGTACTTTTTGCGGAAAAGCATCCGTGCCAATCTAGACGCCGTTTTGTGCAAGAAAGCCCCAATCGCCATTTTCGCCATCGGGGCTTTTTTGCGCAAAACAGTCCTCCCCTGTCTACACTGGCTCTCTTGCGCAAATACATTTGCACAAGAGGGCTTATCCCTGAGCGGGAGCATCATAGTATTTGTGCAAGAACACTGACAATCTTACATGAGATCGTCAGTGTTCTTGCGCAAATTCAAGCGGCCAGTGTAGACAGCTGGCAAGTTTTTCCGCAAAACAGCCGCTTTTGCGGAAAACTTGCCAGTCTAGACACAGCCTCCGTATAACCAGTTAGCTGTGGAGCAGCCCCCCACTTGCAATGAGGCAGGTCTGGCCAGGCTGGAGCAGCCCCACAGATGGGCTTGCCAGCCGCTAGCTGCTCTAGCCAGGCTAGGCTGAGCCTGCCACGCAGTGGGTGGAGGCTGCTCTGGCTGGGCCCACCATACTGCAGGCAGGGGGCTGCTCCAGCTCAGCTGAGCCGGAAGCTAACTGGTTGATGCTTACTAGGAACCAATTAATCCTTTGTATCCCTAGAGCCAAGTAATATCTTCCAGTCAGCTGAGACTTAGATTTGTCTCCTTGCATGGTGGACTTGCTTAGTCTCCTATTTTGCTGGATCTACTGAGTGCTTCATAGAGCTGTGTGTCAGTTCAGTAGATTCTCTGTGGGAGAGAATTACTCTCTTTGAGGTACTAGGGTAAAAGAAAAAGTGTGATGTGACTTCTATGCACTTTCAAACTGCTTAACAAAAAGTGTGGACATTTAACATGAATTTAAAAAATCCCAGAGTTGCATTAGCAAGGACTTAAAAACACCAAGAGCTTGGAAGCGATAGACAACTTCCTACCTTGTTGCATAAATGAGTCTCTTACTAATTTTCCTAAATGTATAACTTTCCTGTAGGCAGGTTATTCTATAACTACCTAATGCAGGATTTCTTGCAACTTCCTCTTAGGCAGCTAGTACTGGTTACTGTCAGAATAGGATACTGTACTGGATAAACCACCAGCCCTGTCTGGTTTAGCTATATTCCTATGCAAATCTAGTCTTTTACATTATCTGCAGTAGACTGAGTATTGGCTTTACAAGGCAGATTTCAGCTTTTGGTTTAAATATGAAAAAAAAAGAATGTTTAATTTCTGTATGATGAGGCTTAGGACTCCAGGGGAGGGTTAGTGAAATGCAGATATTAAACCTTTGGTCTTTGAATATATCTGAAAAATTGCTATTAATTTGTTTTGTTTGGAAAGCCTTACATAACTCCTTACAATACAGGCTAGACAATAGGGGGTCCTTACCTATAATCCCCGCAAAGCAAAAAAGTCAAATGTCCTTGTTTTTCCTCTTCTAGTATATGATCTCTTTGCCGTACTGTGGTGGTGTGCTTTCTGCTAACTGCTAGTTGAGATTATTCTTTAACTCAAATGATTGATGTAACATTAGTGCCGTCTCGAGCGTGGCCTACACATAAAATGTAGGTCAATTTAGCTGTATTACTGCAGTGCTTGTAGCGTAGATATTCACAAACTCACCACCAGATGACTCTTCCACAGATAGTTTTGCTCATTCTGTTATCACAGTAAGTAGAATCAAAGCTTAGGAGAAACCTTATTCCCCTCAGGCTCCGTTTTATTGGTGTTTTTTTTTTTAAAGAAACACCCCAATAAAGTCTGCCATGCCTCAGTCTGAGAGTAACTTTCGCAGGTGTAGCTGCTGCCTACATGTTATATGCATGCAAGTGAATAAATCATTACAATGGTGGTTCAGGAGCTGTGAATTGAGGCATTTGTGTGCAGCACAGTTTAAAATGTTAT